AATACAGTTTGGGTCAACTTTCAATGTGTTTCAGAATCTCCAGAAACTGCTTTAAGTGTATATTGTGAGCCTGTCTCCAGAGACTGATTCACTAGGTCTAGAGTGGGACCCAGGTAATTGCATTTTAATAAACACCACAGGGAATTCTAGGCAGGTGACAACCCCTTGACCTTGCTCTAAGAAACCACCAGCTTGAGGATAACCACCCAACATCTCCACCCTAGGTAGGAGCTCGGTCTGGATTCCTTTGGAACATGTGTGACAGTTCCCAGACTCCCCCCCATGCTTTTGAAAGGAACTAGCTGTTTCCGTAAACACAATTTGCTGGATTATTTTCTGTGGTTAATTATTAAAAGGAAACGATTCAGGCAGTAAGGTCCAGTCACACTTGTGCACAGCTCAATGTAATTAAGGGTGGAAGTTCCTGTTTTGGGTGTTCTATCACTGCTGGGAACCGTGACTGACAGATTGGACAGGTAGAGATTCAGACAAAATACCAGCTTCCCCAGAGCATTGAGAGCTGAGACACTGGCCAATCCCTTTCTCTGGGACTCAGTTTCTCATGGGTGATAGAGCAATGTCTTAGTTCTTATAGGTGTTAGGAAGACAAATGATTGAAAAACCCCAGAGTCAAATGACATGCCACCCTTGGAATCCAATGAGTGCATTTAGCAAATGCGCCACTCTGTGAGAAGTGTGTCTTCCTAAAAGCTTTCCTGGAAAGAAAGAAAATACGGATGGTGAAACGTATACTTTACATAGGGTTCCTGGTACTCAGTGAGACCCCTCAGCCCATATAGCACACCTCTACATCCTTCGGGCAAAGAGTATGGGTTCTGTAAGTTCCTTCAGAGTAGAGGGAACAGATGCTGTTTATTGTAGAGCTGTGCCCACAGAAAGGAGACACACGAGGTGAAGAAGAGCTGTGCCCACAGAAAGGAGACATGAGAGGTAAAGAAAAGTTCTAAGGGAGAGAAGAAATTAGTGACCCCAACTCAAGTCCTTCTGCTTTTTAAATCATGTACTATAATCTTATAATTAGGCAGTAGGTGATGAAATTCTTCTATAAAATAGCTGTACGTGAAGTTAAATTCCACTTGGGCCTTGCCTCTCTGCAAGTGTCTCATTCTTCCGGGAGGTATTCATAGCTTTGGTGACTAGCCTCTGACACTTTGCTCTGTGTGTACATGCAGATATACCTCTATACCTGTAGATGTTTGTGTTTTGTGCATGTATTTAAAAACTATAAATGAGACTCCATCACACAAATTATTGTGAAACTTACCTTTTGCACTGAACAATGCATCTTAAAGACTTGTTATTGGCTATACATATACATTTACTTTGCTACCTTTAACTGCTGCAAAGACTTCCAAATTATAGTTATTCCCCAGGCTATTCTATTATTCCCTTACTGAACTATGATTGACCATTATTTTGCTAAAACAAAAATAGTCCAGTGCACACCCTGGACCTGCTTCCTCGGATACACGTGTGTTTCTCTGGGGTAGATACCATGATGGTGAATGCATGGCACAATGTTTCCATTTTTAGTAGATAATATCGTACTTCTTCTAAAATAGATACACTGATTTATACCAGGGATATATGAGAGGAAATTTCCCCTCTTGTTATCAATTTAAAACACATGTTGCCAATCTGTTTGTAAAAAAGAGATATCTCATTTCACTGAGATTTATTTTTCCCTGATTTTTGGTGCAGTTGGGCATTATTTCATTTTCTTGACCATTTATGTTTCCTCTTTTGTGGTACACTTATAATTGACCCATTATCTATTTTCTGTAGTGCTGAAAATAAAATTTAAACTAAATTTTGGGAGTTTCCCCTAAATTCTGAATCCTTATCTGTGATATCCATGCTGTAAATATTTTCCCTCAGGTTATTACTGACATTTTAACATTATTTATAGAATCCCCATGTATTATGTTCTCAACCAGAAGTTTCAAATTTTAAGGTAGTCATGTTCATTGGCCTTTGATGTATTTATGTCCTGAGTATGAATGCCCAGGTCAAAAGCGTTATTTTTGTATATCCTTTTCCTATTATGAAGCCCATGTATTTTGCTGATTCAGAGCACACTGCCTGGAGCTCTGTACCCCATTAGGGATAATGGCTGACAGATGAGTGAGGGCACTGATGGCCTACCTGAAAAACAATCATTTATATTTTTGATCAAATCTGAAATATTTGCAGGGTGGTAATCAGGAATGAGCTTCTTCTAAGGCTGCTAAGGGAAGTAGCTGGGGTTGTTGCAAGAAGTTTCTCTGCTTTCATAAAACAAAAGAAACATTCAAACTACAAATCCTGGAAAAGCATGGAGTGGCTTGCTCTGGAGATAAACCCAGGCAGACATTTGTTTGTTTAGGATCTTTAGGATAACTTCATACTGGGAGAGACTTGAGCAATCTGCCCTGCCACCTTGCCACCTGTTAAATGAAAATATAGCCACAGATATTTTTAAATTTCTGAAAGCCACATTTAAAAGAACACAATGTAGTCTCTTTATTAACAGAGACAGAAAATGACAAGAAACCAAATCTTAGAGGAGGAGTCCCAGATCAGGAGATCTTTGAGTAGGTTTTTAAGGATGAGTAGGAGTTTTCCAGTTATTTAAGAGGCATCTTAGTTAGCAGGAGTAAAATATAAAAAATATAAGGGCCCTCCCTTGTGGTACAGCGGGTTAAAGCACAGCACTAAGAAGCTAAAGCCACTTCAGCATGAGTTCGAACCCCGCCCCAGAGGTGATTCACATGGCGCCACAGACCTCTCCTGACCCACCCGCTGCTCCCCTCAGCAATGTACTTCGTTGATCTGCCTGTTCTGCAATAGCCTTCTATCTTGTGCAATAGACTTCTACCTTTGTGCAATCTAGTAGAAATGGCAGCTGATAACAAAGTTCTAGCAATCATGTGTGAGAGGGGAAGGAGAAAAGAATATCTGAGTATGTCAGGAAGGAGTTGGGATACGGCAGATTATAGGAGGGGGTCATGTGAAATGGTTTTAACAGAGGCTGCCAGGAGCTGAAAGTGACAGTTAACAGCAAAGGGAACAGGTGTCTCAGTCCTACAACTAGGAGTTGGATTCTGCCAACAACCTGAGTGGATTTTTTCCCCCAGAGCCTCCAGTTGAGAATTCAACTCAGCTAACATCTTGTCTTTGGCCTTGGGAGACCCTGAGCCAAGTCCCTGAGCCAAGACCCTGAGCCAAGACCCTAGCCACGCCACGTTAGATACCTCACCTCCAGAGCTGTGTACTAATAAATGGGCATTCTTGTAATACATTAATTTTGTGGCAATTTTTACATAGCAGTATCCCTCCCCCACCCCAACCCCAGTTTCCTACCCTCCAATAAAACTTCCATTGTGGATATAGCAGGTCCAAGCACTTAACCCTCACGACAGTCCTACTAGCCAGGTAGTTCTACTATCACCATTCACAGATAAAAACACAGGCTTAGAGAGATAGGATGTGTTTCCTAGGGGCATAGAGCTAGTAAGCCACACATTGCCTTTTGGATAGGTCCAAACACTGAGGCAAGGAATTAAATGCTCCTCCTGCAGCTCCTGCTCACCTGTCTAACCTCATTCTTAGACTTTCCTCTCACTAAACTGCCTTATCACCATTGTAATTGCTGTTCTCTCCTGACTCCTTGACTTTACATATGTAGTTCCTTCTACCTGGAATGAGGCCTGCCCTCTCCCTCCATTTTTATTGTCCTATGACTGACTCAAAAGTTGATTCCAATCTTGTCTAAAATGCCACCTCTCCCAGGAAGCCTTCCTTGACTTCCCTAGCTCTGCACTCCACTAGACTGTTAGCTCCTAGAAAGCCAAGACAGCAATTTGTTCATAAGATTGCCCTAGCAAAGTAACTGAAGCATAGTAGATACTCAATAAATATTTACAGAGTGGATGAATAAAAGCGCTTTATTCGAGTGGTAGTGGGGAACCAAAGTCTTGATGTAAGGGAGTGACCTGGTCAACCCCTACCCACAGGGACACGCTGAAGACAAGTCTTGTGCACAGAGCTCATCCTCATGGGCATCAGAGAATGAAAAAAAAATCCATTTGTTTTTTGGGCTTGGCATTTTTGAGCTGTGAAACGTGGTTCTTATCGCTTGACTACATCTGTATACTGGCAAATCCCAGAAACTGCCATGATAATGACTAGGTTTCCCTTTACGAAGGAGAGACATGGAAAAAGATCTTGAGACTTGGATCTGGGGTGAACTCCCACTAGAATGAGGAGTCCTCCTGCCAAGAAGGATGGGGGAAGTTGAAGTGATATGGGGAGTTATAACCATGATCCCAAAGGAATAGGGTGGTGGTGGGGAGACGGTCATCCTGTGAAAATACTCAAGTAACCTGGACTATTCTATAGCCACTTGCTCTAAGAACACACCGCCCCATCCTGCTCTCCTTAAATATGCAAATATTACTTCAGGAAAAGATAACTGGAAGGCTTTCTGCTAAAGCCTTACAATGCCCAGCTGGTAGTCCAGCAATGTGGTAAAGGTTAGAGACCACTGGGTGTCTCGGTCTCCTTGACTGCACCAAGCAGTACATTCTCAACGAGCAAGAGAATGTACGCTGCCTTGCAGGGCCAGGAACCCAGTCTGGAGGCGCTGAGGAAAGGGAGAAAGTCCTGTCAGAAAACTCCAGTCAGCCCTGAATGCAAGGAGAGGAGTCAGATTTCCCATAAGACACGAGTTGATCTCTTCGCCTAAACGTGGCCTCCAGGCACTGAGCGGAGGGGTTCCCGCGCGCTCTGAACTGCGCGCAAGCCCGCCGAGAGCAGGCGGAAGGGGCCGAGACGCCGGGTACCCGCTGCGCGAATAGGAGCCGACTGGGCGCTCTGGGCACTGCTGGGCTGCGAGAGGCGTTTCTGAGCGCCGCGCCTCTCACGCTCCGGCCGCGCCGCCGCCGGGAGCAGGGGTGGGAGGGGGAGGAGCCACGTGGGGAGGAGCAAAACCCCGCGACCCGGGGATCCTAGCTCAGAGCCCGCGAGGTGCAGCACCAGTCCGGGCGCGCTGCACTCAAGCGCTCGCCGTCCCGGCCCCGCACGGCCCAATCGTCTCCCGCCGGCTCCAGCGCCTCTGCCAGCGCTGGCCTTTGGAGCGCGGCGGGGGAGCGAGCCACTGTCGCCGAGACAAGGCTCCCGGTTCCTTCCCCTCCCCAGAGTTGCCGGTCTGCCACGCTGCCCCTGCCGTCCCAGCGAAACTCGCCCGTCACCCGAGCCCTGGTCGCGCTATGGATCCTTCCGAAAAGAAGATATCCGTGTGGATCTGCCAGGAAGAGAAGCTGGTGTCGGGCCTCTCCCGCCGCACCACTTGCTCCGACGTGGTGAGGGTGTTGTTGGAGGACGGCTGCCGGCGACGAAGGAAGCAGCGGCGGGGCCGGCGGCGGGGGGCGGCAGGCGACTTGCCAGGTGCAGGGGACCTGCTGGAACCCCTGGACGAAGACGACGAGGACGACGACGAGGCGCTGACTCAGGGCATGCTGTGCGGGCCCCCGCAGTGCTATTGCATCGTGGAGAAGTGGCGTGGCTTTGAGCGCATCCTGCCCAACAAGACGCGCATCTTGCGCCTCTGGGCTGCCTGGGGCGACGAGCAAGAGAATGTCCGCTTCGTGCTCGTGCGCAGCGAGGCGTCACTGCCCAACGCCGGCCCGCGCAGCGCTGAGGCGCGAGTTGTGCTCAGTCGAGAGCGCCCTTGCTTGACCCGGGGGGTCCAGGCCAGGCCCAATGTGACCATGACCCAGGAGAAGCAGCGGCGGGTGGTGCGCAAGGCTTTCCGCAAGCTCGCTAAGCTCAACCGGCGGCGCCAGCAGCCGCCGTCGTCACCCTGTTCTTCCACTTCGTCGTCCACCACCTCGTCCTGCTCGTCGTCGCCGCGGGCCACTGAGAGCGCATCTATGGAGCGTATGGAGACGCTGGTGCACTTGGTGCTGTCTCAGGATCATACCATCCGTCAGCAGGTGCAGCGGCTGCGGGAACTGGACCGCGAGATCGATCGCTATGAGGCCAAGGTGCACTTGGACCGCATGCGGCGACATGGAGTCAACTACGTGCAGGACACTTACTTGGTGGGCGCGGGCCTTGAGGCCGATGAGCCGAGTCCGGGAGAGGAGCCAGAGGCGACGGCGGCGGCGGCGGCGGCGGCTGCGCCTTTGGACGGCGAGGCTCAGGCGGCCAAGCTGGAGGAACTGGCCCGGCGCTGCGACGACCTGCTGCGGTTGCAGGAGCAGCGGGCCCAACAAGAGGAGTTGCTGGAGCGCCTTTCAGCCGAGATTCAGGAAGAACTGAACCAGAGGTGGATGCAGCGGCGCCAGGAGGAACTCGCGGCGAGGGAGGAGCCGGCGGAGGCAGAAGGCCACCTGGAGGGCGAGCTGCTGCTGGAGCAGGAGCAGGTCAGGACGCAACTGAGCACCAGCCTCTACATCGGGCTCCGGCTTAACACGGATTTGGAGGCCGTGAAGTCGGACTTGGATTACAGCCAGCAGCAGTGGGACAGCAAGGAGCGGGAGCTGCAGGGCCTGCTCCAGACTTTGCACACGCTGGAACTCACTGTAGCGCCCGACCGGGCTCTGGGCTCTGGCGGGCCTCCTCCGGAACCCGGACTTGAGGCTTGCGCCGACGTGTGGGTGGATCAGGCCCGTGGATTGGCCAAAAGCTGTCCAGGGAACGACGAGGACTCGGACACCGGGCTGAGTTCTATGCACAGCCAGGACTCGGACTCAGTGCCCGTGTGCGAATCACTGGTGTAGGAGGAGCAGGGAGGGAGAGGGAACCCAACGCTTTTCCCTTCCTTGTGGTAAACAAGGGCCTGGGCGTCTCAGGTACTGGAAACCGGGCTGAGGGTCAGCCCGGGACTGCTTGGGACAGCAGCTCTCTGTCTGGGTCTTGGGAGAGTTCAGGACACCTGCCCCTCAGCGGTGCTCCTCTGGCTCGGGATGAGCGGGTTGAGCGTGCCTGAGAGTGCGGGATTTAGAAGGCTGGTCTCCAATCCGAGCCTTTTTAGGGGAAGAAAGGAGGGAGGAGGTGAGACTACCCCTCTCCTCCCCATCCCCGCTCCTCACCCAGTGGAAAACAAATGCTCCAGGGAAGTTGACGTGGTCCGAGCCCATTTTCAAAGACAGAAATGAAAGTATTATGGAGATTTCACCACTTTTTTTGTTTGGGAAGGACTGATGGCAGCTAGAACTTTAGTTTGTAGCATAAATTGCTTTTAAAAGAAACACTTGGATGAAAAGGAAATTCCTTGAATGTTAATTGTGACTGTGAACATGTTAAAACTAGCCAAAGAGGACGCACTCATGTTAGTTTCAGCCTTACTTACACCATTGATAAAACCCATAGGCACCAAAAATCAGGCTGTTTACATTTCTGCAGATTCGGGAATTACCCATCTGTTAAACTGACTTTTATTTTTTTTCAACAGCCGAATTGGTATGGCTAACCTTGCATATCCTACCAAATACTGTGTATGCTAAAATGGGACCCCCCCTCCCCCAAATAATCATTTATTATTACAAAAGCCAAACATAATACTTTTGAGATAGAGAATCCTGGCAGACATAATCACTGGTTAACATTTAATCTGAGCTCTTTGGGATTTGACCCTGCAAAGGTATGTGTGCTGTCCTTTCATTCATATTGCCATTTCATCCACTTTCATCAGAAGTAAGTAAAGGGGAAGTTTCAGAACTCAAGTACAACTAAATTTGCTGTTTAATGAGCCCTCTGTTTGAAACTAAGACTTGAAAACAAGATCTTTGCTCGTCTTGAGCTTTTGAACTGAACTATATGATTAAAACTAACCATGACCTCAACAGACTTTACCCACACCTAAGTCTAACTCCATTTTTTTTGTTTAGAGAATAATTACTTGTCCAAGCCTCCACTGAGAGAGTGTAAATATCATAGTTCATTAGATAAGGCCCCCAAAGAAAAACTACAACCAAATTATCTAATAGTATACCCTGAGTGAACAATTTGATTAAGAACAGCACGTAGCCATTGATAAAACGTATGAAAGTGAGCTAAGGACTTGACTTGAATCACTCTAGTCTGGCTTTCACCTTTGCATATGCCAGGAAATACTAGCGTGTTCACAGCTCTCTCTCTCCCTGCAAGTGACAGCCCTGGTGGGGACTCATTGTAATTGTTCCAGCTATTTCAATTAAAACTTATCAGTTGTAGCTAGTTGCTACCTTTGTGGAAGGAGTCTGCTGGCGGTGTTCCCTCTGGAGTTCAATACTTCTGAGAATTTAATCTGTCCTGAGGTGTTAACAACGGGGTGTGTGAGTGGTGTAGCAGCCTGGTATCAGCCTAACTAGAGGGGCTGGCTCCAGCTTTAACACTACATGTGAAGATAAGAGGTCATACTTTATAGAGCTGTTTCTTCCCTTGGAGAGATTCGGTCCTCCTCTTGCCATTGGGGTCCTGCCCATTTAACCCCCTCAAGCCCTGTAGGTTGTCTCCTCAGACCTAGTAACACTCCCCCCCTCCCACCCTCAGCTGTTACAACATGTGTGGCTGTTTCAGATTTTTAAATACAATGGGAATTTAAAAGCTGTTTTCTTAATTGATGTTTTCAAAAGACATTACTAAGCTAATTATGGTTCCTTTAGCTTTGTCCGATAAAGAAAACATCTATCTATCTGGTCTTGGGCATGATTAAAATGAGAAAGGGACCAAAGGAAACCCACCAGTCCCCACAGTCATTTTATCCCATAAATACAAAGCCTAATGATAGCTTTCCTTTTGAGGCAGAGCTAAAATCCTCATTAGAGTGTGACAAACGCTGCTTGTTTGAATGGTTTATGCTGGCGATGGGCTGACCTGGTGGTTTTCAAATTATTATGCTTCCCCCCCCCCCCCCGCCCCCAGGCTGGTAGGGGAGGTGATTCTTGGACGTTTATTAACTCAAAGGCGAACAGAGAAGTTGGCAGAACAGGCCTGCCTGGCAGAAAGGGACTGTTTTTCTTTTCACTATTATTATTTTAAACTTTGACGGGCTGCTGACGTCAGCAAATATGCCTGAAGCTTGTAAAGAAAATAAGCCACATCACAGGCATGTCTGTGGGATCCATGGTGCCCTCCTTGCTGAACCTACCCATCCTGCCCACCTAGATGCTTCTCTAGTCAACTCTTCCGGCAGGGAGGAGGATTTGTTTATATAAAGGGTGGCCCAGTCTGCTGGTTATTTCTTTCACCCAGATCAGTCCTTTCCCCAAAAGGCCCTCTCTGTGTGGGTAGGAGAAAGGGGGGTGGGGAGAGGAGAAAGGAGACAATAGCTTCTTTGAATAAGAGCTCTTGAAAGCCTGAGAAAGGTGGACTATAGATGTAAAAAACCTACCAAATCAGTGCCTGTGCCTAGGAAGTACCTTATGAATGCTAGCTACTTTAAACGTTCATTCACTTTGTAAGTAATCATCATGACAGTAAGAATGAGGATAAGTATAGCACCAGCACCAAGATTTCTATGCCCATGGGAAAAGTAAATCCTTTCCTGTTCTCCAGGCTTAAATCCTGAGGAGGAACCAGCAAGCCAGCTGAGAATATAAAATGAAACAGGTTCCCTACCATCTAGTCTCTTTGTTTTTGGGACTTCTACAACCTTATTGTAATTTTTATATACATGATCCCAGTCAGTCACCTCCTACCAAAAAGATCCCATTGTGCAGCTCTGTTTACTATCTTATAATACATTATCATTATTAGCTGATAAACGTTATACACGGTAGTCTTGATGACGGACTTGAAAATGATATGAAGTGAAAAGAAAGAAAAGGGACTCAAAATCCTGACACTAGAGCTCACTGTTACCAAAATTTTGTATTTCCTGTCAGACCTTTTGAATTATAAAGATTCCATATTTTACTTCTTTAGAAAAATACATAATTTTAATGAGATTGTAATCTGCTCTGGTTTTGACAGACTCCTGTAAACAGCTCCATCGATCTACTAAGTACATCCTAGTACACATAATGGTTCTCAAATTACTATGCTGCTTCCAGTATTACTTTATACTATTATAAAATAACACTTTTGCACTTATCTATTTTCCTACTTAGGCCCCACCTCAAAAGACAGGTTGAGACTTAAGCACAAAATTGCTTTTCAAAAAATTTGTTTTAATTGCAATCAGCTAGGCATGAGTGTGCCTGTTTCCTATTTTATCACATCTTCCCTTTTGTTAGATAATACATTTTAAGAAAATTTCTTAATCAAAATTGATTCATTAATTCCTTGTGACTTCAGGAACCAAGACCTAGTATCCACTGACTTAAAGTAACCTTACAAAAGAAAGGCAGTTCATCCGATCAGGTGTGCTAAGAGGATCCTGTGCTTTCTTTCCTTCCCAAGTCCTTGTATCTCATGAGCACTGCTTTGTAGCAGCAACTTTATCTCATTTCAGAGCTGACCCACAATCTGATCTGTCTGAACAGGAGGGGCAAAAACTCCATGTGTGCTTGATGAAGGGGATCAATAAAGGAGAAATGGAATTATTTAAAAAAAATCATGATCTATGTTCATCTCAAGTCTCTGGGAGAAGGTTACTCTTAGAAAGTGATGTCTTAAAACATGTTGATGTTGTACTTCTCCCTACCCACCTCTATCAAAATTCCAATGCAAATAAATAAAATACATAAGCCCACTTGTTTATTAACAGTCTCTAATGAACAATTTAGATTTTTCTACGAACTGTATCCTACATATGATGTTATACCCAAGCTCATTCTTAAATTCTAAAAAAGGGCCAATTTGATTATGACAATTTGTGGAAAACTGGTGTGAAAATGTTCATGAAACATCTAAATGGAAAGGAAGGTGGCTGGGGAGGAACTCTCGTGGAGTGCTTTCCAAATGCCAGGTCCTCCTGTATTTTCTTTGCTTGTGAGATGGAACTTTTTTTTTCCCCATTATTTGGTACTTATATCTATATTCTTTTTAAAAAAATTTTATAATAGTTTTTTTTAAAGATTTATTTATTATTTATGAATATAGAACTGGGGTACAGGCCAGAGATACGGAGGGTGAGAGGATTCACCAGAGACAGAGCTGGGAGCAGAACAGGCAGATCGACAAAGTACACTGCTGAGGGGAGCAGTGGGCCGGTTAGGAGAGAGCTGCCTAGCCATGTGGATCTCCTCTGGGGCAGGCGGAGATTGAACTCTTGCGGAAGTGGCTTAAGCTTCTTAGTGCTGTGCTTTAACCCGCTGCGCCACCAGGGAGGGCCTTGTAATAGTTTATTTTTACATGTTTTTGTGCATTTTTCCGTCTCAGTGAGATGGAACTGTTTTAACCTCCAATTTTTATAGATAAAGAAATGAAAGGACATTAGTTTGCAGGCAGTAGGATTCTAACCCAAACCTGACTCCAAAACTTGTGTACTTTTCACTCATTACATCAGTCTCATTAGAACCATGAAGTATTCAGCACAGTTGGAAAAAATTCCTCACAGGTCCTCTAGTGTTGGTATGAGAAGGGCCTCCAAGATGATCAAGTCTTGGCCAAGTATTTTGACCAGGAAGGTGGAATTAAGTCCTAAGAATCCCAGAGCTTATAAATATCTACAATGTGAGGATTTAGGAAAAGCCAAAGGAGGAAAATTCCTGTGTTAATCTCTGGAATTAATAACTGTGTTATTGTGGAATTAATAATCTCTGTTAATAACTGTGTATCTATCAGCATGTAGGTTTTGACTGAATGCCCCAAGGCCACAGGTACATAGTCAACAATCTAGAACCCACAGTCATTGATGTCCAAGGAGGTCTGCAAGGTGGTGCTAACCATGGCTATGCTGGAGTCAACCTAGCACTTTTTTTTTTAAAAAAGATTTATTTATTTATATATACAGAACTGGGGTACAGGTCAGAGGTTTAGGGGCAGTGAAAGAATTCACCAGAGACAGAGTGGGGAGCAGAACAGGCTGACTGACGAAGTACACTGCTGAGGGGAGCAGTGGGCGGGTCAGGAGAGGTCTGCTCCAAGGGGTCACCTCCGGGGCTGGGATCGAATTCACGCTGAAGTGGCTTTAGCTTCTCAGTGCTGTGCTTTAACCCGCTGCGCCCAGGGCGGGCCCCATGCTAGCACTTTTAACCAGCCTCTGGGTGGGTGCCTGAGGATAAGACAAGGGTGATGGGCAGGTGTGCTGGACCTCTGTGGGCACCCATGCCTATGGAGTTAGACATGGATCCCTGATGGAGAGCATCTTTGGCCATGTTAACACCGCTGTGCGCATGAAGTGCTTTGAGGGGCTGCCCAGCCTCTGACACTCATCCACATTCTCATGCAGATTTTTCCTATTTCAGACACTTCAGGATTCCCATAGATTTCAGGATAAAAATTTACATTTCTTAGCAGGATTCATAAAGTTGTTGGCTAACTAGTTCCTCTTTAAGGTCCTCCCCCCAGCCCACCCTCCTAGAGACCTGAGTTAAGTGGATCCTATTTCTTCATTCAGGACACACTCCATCTTTTGTACAATGGCTCTCTCTCTTTCTCTCTCTCTTTTTTTATTTTATAACAGTTTATTTTTACATCATTTTGTACATTTTTTTTTCCATCTCAATTGTAATCCCCGCGGGTTTCCCATCACCATCTCTCTCTCTTTTTAATCTTACTTTGTTTTATTTCATGGTCTCCTTCCTCCTCCATTCCTACTCCCCTTTCCCTTCTGACTCCCTTCTTATATTTAATCTATTGATTATTTCAGTGTATTTAATCTATGACCTTCTAAGCCATCTATGACCTTCTAAGCCATCTTACATACTCAAGGATGTCCTGTTGCACAACTCCAGAGGGCACCATTCTTAATGTTTTCTAGAGGGTACCATTCATATAGGAAACTGGGCACAGTAACCCTGAAATTGACAATGTGTGGGCACAACACATTCGCTGGTATATGTGCATAATTTCTTGAAAATTATTTTGAAATGGCCTGTGTGCTTGTAATTAATATACACAAACTTTATTGGACTATAAAACTCATGATATGAGGATTGGTGATTTCTTTTATGATAGTTTAGTAGAAAGAGGTAGAAAATATCTTGTTTTTATTTGCTTTTAATTTTTTTCGAACTTACCATTTTAACATTTTTTTTGGTGTAAAATTCAGTGGAATTAAATACATTCACAAAATTATTCAGCCATACCCACCTCCCCATCCTCTTCTCCACCTTGTCTCCTTCTAGTATCTTCTTTGGATAGGTATCTGTTCAAGTCCTTTGCCCATTTTAAAGGTTTTTCTTTTTTGGTTGTTTTTGTTGGTGTTGTTGAGTTATAGTAGTTCTTTACATATTGTAAATATAAATCTCCTATAAGTAATTTATGGTTTGCAAATATGTCTCCCATTACACTGGTTGCTTTTGTTGATAAATTCTCTGATACATAAAAGCTTATAACCTTGAAGATGTTCAACTTAACTATTTTATCTTTAGTTGCCTTTGCTAATGGTGTCATTTTCAAGAAATCCTCACAAAATATA